TCTCAGCTGAGTGTCTGCTTTTCTAAAGAGAAAAAACATGTAAGTCAAAACAGACTGTAAAATTATCTAAATTCTCAGAATGAGAGAGAAGAGGAGGCCAGGAGGAAAGCAGGGACCGCCTTTCCCACGAGAAGAACGAGGGTGCAAGCCCACTCTGAGGGCTGAGGACACAGCTATCACCAGGTCCCAGCAATGTCATGTCATTGTTTTTAAACTTTTTGTGATGGGGAATTTTCACAAAACTCATACGATGAACTTCCACACATCCACCACCCAGATTCAACAATTATTAATATCTTGTGGGGTGTCATATACGCCTGGAGGCTCTGGGTCTTCCTGACTAATGTTCAATACAGACAAAGGTACATATACAAGGGAAGACCCCCCAAAAGACCCAGAATTATCTTTTGGAGGGCAGGCCCCTTGTAGTGCAGGCTTCCCCCACTAGGTAAGTGTTCTAGGAACCATTCGGCACTAGTGGCCCAGCTAGTGTTGTTGTGAAAGGCTGCGTTCAGCTTCAGCGAAATTTTTTGGAGAGGCTTTCATCGCATTTGCCCATTTCATGATGGGTGATTTGCGAGCACACCTGCCCACACCACACTGAGTGTTGAACAGTATTTGACCAAAAACAGCATGATCCTGTGCCCCACACCTTACTTACCCGATCTCACCGAAGTGATTTTTGTTTCCCCGGATGAAATAAGTCCTCAAAGGAAAACGTTTTGCCAATATGGAAGAGGTGAAACAAAAAACAGCAGAAGCACTAAAAGGTATCAACGTTGGCAAGTCAAAAACCATTGTGAGCAGTGGAAAAAGTATCTCAAATGGTGTATTGCATTAAATGGAGAGTAAAAATGATTGAAGTTTAAACATGTAAAGATAAATACGCAGTTTTAAAAAAATAAATTCCAGAGTTTTATTGGGTGTCCCTCATGCAAGTACAAGAAAACGGTGAGGTTTAGCCATAGAGCGCATATTTGTGATGCCTGCTTCACAAGCAAGATGCTCCAGCAGGAAGTCCTCAGTCCTACTTCTACCCCATGCACTCCTCTACCCCAAGGGGACTACCATACTGAATCGTGAACTTGTCCTCCTCTGGCTGTGTTTTAAACAGCATTCCTACACAGGCCTGTGCTCTTAAACACGATATTGTCACACTGTGCTTGTCTGAGTTTTATAAAATATCACATCCCATTGTACATAGTCTCCTGTGTCTTACTTTTTACTCAGCATTATACTCTGGATTCACCCATGCTGCCAGGTGTGGTTGTAGTTTATTGATTATCTAATCATGTCAACGCAGAGTGCACAGCTCTGAAGAGTGCTGGCACCGGGCTGTGCTCGCCTGCATGTGTTGCTGAGGGAGTCGCGGCGCTGCACGTACAGACCCACCAGAGACAGACCTCCTGGATTTGACATCTGGAGGGCAGAGTGTTGAAAGGACAGCTTCAAATCTGGCTGTACACTTAACAGTACCTTGGCCAAACTGCAGACCTTTTGTAAGACTGTGTCCTAGGTTTAAAAAGGAGATAAGAATGCCCTATAGTTATTTTAAGTGATAGCGATGTTAATGCCCACAACACCCGTGATACTTGTCGGCACATGACAAGTGCTCACCAATGGTGGCCGTCGAGCCTACAGTGATGACATGTTAAGGACTCCCAGGCCAAAGAGGGTGCCCCTCAACTGAAGAGACAACCCACTGATAATGTATGAGGGCTCCCAGAGCAAGGAGGATGCACCTCAACTGAGGATATCTGCCCTCCCCGCACAGTGCCTCTTCTTGGTCAGTTACTTGCCAACATGGACACAGGAAAACTCATTTCCATTCTGTGCCATCTTGCAGCATGGGTCATGGTGACAGAATGAGGACCTGGCTTCTTTCTGTAGAGTCACTTACAGAACTCCCCTTAAAGGACCAGGATGCAGAATGTCCACTGGGTTAGAAAACTCCCATAACACTACCCCATTACTCCCGTTACGGGTGAAAAAACCAGAGACAAGAAAGATGAAGTAAATTTCCTAGCATTATACCGCTAGTGAGTCAGCCCCCATGCACCATCTTCCTCCTCCAGCCATTAAGATAATAGGCTCTTATTTTACATTTTATTCTTGGCATAGAAAAAAGAAACCAGTATACATTGCACCCCAAATGTGGACGCACCTACCTTATTTAGTTCCCAGAACCACTATGTGAAACATTATGGTTCGTCATGTGACAGGGAGGCACAGAGTGGAATCACAAGCCCCAGGCCTCACAGCCAACAGAGCAGTGGGTGCTCTGCAACCTCACAGCACCCTGGCTGCCTCCCTGCTGCTCGCTTGTGCTCACACAAATACCATAACGGCAAGGACATGTAAAAGGGAAGCGCAAAGTCACCCACAACCCAGGACCCACCAATTGACTTCACCCCTTACATTCTTCCTTGCTCCCTTCAGGCTTGGGTCCATGTGTGAACAATTTATATGTGCAACAGTTTCATAATGTATAAAGATTCCTCAGGAATTCAAGGGCCTGGAGTTTATTTATTTTTTTGAGTCAGAGTCTCACTCCATCACCCAGGCTGGAGTGCAGGGGCATGCTCACAGTCACCCCAGTGTCGACCTTCTGGGCTCTAGCACTCCTTCCACCTCAGCCTTCCAAGTAGCCAGAACTACAGGCACGCACTATCGTGCCTGGCTAATTTTTGATTTATTGTAGAGACGAGGTCTCGCCAAGCTGCCCAAGTTGATGTTGAACCCACAGGCTCTGGTAATCCACTCACCTCGGCCTCCCAAAGTGCTGGGATTACAGGCTGAGCCACCGAGCCTGGCGGGCCTGGAGTATAGTAGGTACAAATGAATGAGTGAATGAACAAATGAATGAGTGAATGAATGAATGAACAAGCAAACAAAAGTTCAAAGTGCACCTCTAATAGAACTTTACGCTCTTCTTCTCCTCTGGTTTTCCCATGTTTCCAGAGTCTTCATCAAGTATAATGTCCATCCAGTATTCCCAGGACCAAATTCTTGGACATCTGACCCGTGCAGTAGCATAGGGTCTGCAGACTTGGAATATTGCTCTGCTGTCACTGTCCTGAAATTCCTAATACTTTCATAACAAGGGACACTGTCATAGCCAGACCTGCCATTTCACTGTGCTGTTAACCATAATGTACTTAGCTACTGCTTGAGCAGCCGATATTTTTGTTCTTTCTGATCTGGGCTCCTAAAAGCAACAATAAACCCTTGTTTCACACCCACTCTGTGCTCAGGATGACACTTGCTTTTTGGTGGTTGTTGGAGGCAAACTGGGTTTAGATTTAATGTCTTTGGTATCAAAAACTGACAAGGGAATTTCCTTTCTAGTTAGAAATAATTCTGTCCAGAGATAACCAGGTGCTTAGCAAGATGCCTATTGCTCTCAGTTTGCACAAGTCCTGAGAGTGACTTCAACAAAGACCAGCTCTTCGTTCCGGAGAAAGGAGGAGACAGTAAGAGGTAGAAACCCAAGACAAACTAAGGCTGGGGTTCTCGTGCCTTCACTTACCCACTCACTGATACCATTCATGGTTTACTGTCTACTGTTCACTGACAGGCCCCGTCTAGCCCTGTGGATGCAGGTGAGGCATGGGTCCTTTCTCGGGGTGCTCCAAAAGTCCAGCCAGAAACCAGGTGAGGGGCGTAGGGTGGAGGCCCCACACTCACCGCAGAAGTCTGCTTCCCAGAGCTCTTGCCTTCTGACTGCCTTCTTAGAAAAGGAATTTAGTTTTGTAAACGGAGAAGCCACAGCTACCCACAGGACCCCTGTAAGAATAACATCCTTATCTCCCAGCCAGGGTTCAGGAGGCTTAGGGCCCTCCCTTCAATGAAAGAGTTTGGCTCTACAAGCAGGGAATGTGGGGGATTAAATGTGGACTCCTTAAAAGAAACACACTCTAAGAATGAAATAGACAGTGGGAAAAAAACTTAAGTTGCCAAACATATAATTCTATATTTTCATGAAGTATCTAGAGCAGGGCCCAACATCTTATAGATACTACAAATATCTACTGAGAACCATGTCCCTGGAAAAACCACATCGCTGGAGAGCTGGTTTTGCTGGCAACTGCCCCCCACCCGCTCCTACTGTCTTGTCTCCTGTGGTGACAATGTGCTACCCGACAACAGCACATACTTTCTTGGCGTCTTACTAAGACCACAGAGTAAGAAGACGCTTCTCCCCTATTATCTTTCCCTAGCTTTCAGCAAATCATTGTTCTGATCTCTTATTTGGCACATAGATGTTTCAAAATTGCAGATAAAATTAAATAGCTGTGACGGTTTGGGTCACTGGTCTTCCTACCACAGGCAAGTGATTCCTATCATTCGAAAACGCAGATACGCACGTGTGAGGGCTTTAAAATGTGATTTTTAAGCTGAGAACCACATCACTTCAGCTCTGGGAAGACAGCCAGCTCCTGACAGCAAGATTTCAAGGCAGGAGTTGGTTACCCTGCGAAACTCCTCTTTTCCAATTTTGGGAGACAAGGTAACCAACTCCACGTGGCACTAGATGACCCTATCTGAATTCCCTTAAAAATTGCCACCACAAGGCCCATCTTGTCCTCACCCCTAGGATTCCTCTTACTGAGCCCAAAACAGAACCAATGGCCACTGAGGAGAAGTTGTTGCTGTTGTCCACCTGGCATCCCCCTCTGGACCTCAGGTCTTTGAATTCTATGTAACCCAAGAGGGTGTAATTCGATCACCTAGTAACTCGGATCAGTCTGAATCCATCTCATCAACAGGCTCCATAAAGTTTCCACCATAAACTCTGAAGTAATCACATGCTGAAGTTCCGGTGCCTGTCTTATAAGACCCCATCCTTTGCCTGGATCCAAGAACAGCTTCCCACCTTTGCCCTCAGTCCAAGCCCTGCTGCGAGACCCATGTGGAGTCTTGCCTTCCTACCCAGTGTCTCAGCACCCGCCAAATCCTGGGTTCCATCCTCTGGTGCTGCCGTCCCCCGCGTCTCCTACCTGAGCACACACTAGGCGATGGAGGCGTCCTGACCATCACCGGCCCACGAGGACACTGCGTCCAGGATCCTCATGGCTGCTATTTACAGAGGCTGGTCCAGTCAACATGCAAAGGGAAGCCGCGGCCTGAGCTGTCAGGCAGTCCAGCAAATCAGGCTGGATGGCTGCAGTGTTATCTGCAAGCAACTTCCTGTTTGAAATACATCCGCTGTCCTGCAGGGTGGTGGTGGAGAGTGTGGGAACGCCAGGAACATCCGTGATGCCAGGCTTTTGGGGACTGGGGAATGACCTGCAGAGATGTCCTTTCAACTCAAGCACCCAAACCCTCACTCTTTCGGGGTTTTCTTTTATTTTTCTTTTTTTTTTTTGAAGACATAAGCATGAGTACTGTGGAAATCCGGAAAAGTATAAAGAAGAGTGATAATAATCATCTAGCTTCACATCACACAGAAGTAAGTACAGCTGACATATTTCCTTTCCTTTTCTTCCACATAGAATTTTGTTTTAAAGGGCAGTAAGTGCTTGACTATTGCCTGTGCAGATCTGGTCCATGTAAGACTCAAAACTCATTCCACTCATTTAAGCTTCATTTAAAGGTAAAATATGCCAGAAAAAAGTCTTTGTGGTGGGCTAGACAGATCCAGCTTTAGTGCAGCCTGAATCTTGCACATTTTGGGGGTTGGGAGGGAACTTCCTTAAGAAAAAGATACATATAAAATTATAATAATTTAAAAACTAGGGTCAAGGGTAAATGTTTATTTAGAATGAAAAATCATAACAAATGAAAATGTAAGACCTGACTAATTCCACACAAATCATAAAACCCATGAAAAAGGAGGACTTATTTAAAATGTACTCAAGTTATACATGGTCAGGCTCGGTGGCTCAGCCTATAATCCCAGCACTTTGGGAGGCTGAGGGGAGTGGATTGCCTGAGCCCGTGGGTTCGAGACCAGTCCGGACTACTTGGCGAGACCTCATCTCTACAAAATAACCCAAAAAATTAGACAGGCGTGGTAGTGTGTGCCTGTAGTTCTGGTTACTTGGAAGGCTGAGGTAAAAGGATTGCCGGAGCCCAGCGGGTCAATACTGGGGTGGCCAGGAGCATGTGTGCCACTGCACTCCAGCCTGGGCAGCGGAGTGAGACTCCACTCAAAAAAAAAAACATAGTTATACATAAATTTGATAATTTAGACAAAATGGACCACTTCCTAGAAAACACAAACTACCATAATGCACCCAATATGAGATAGATAATTTAATAGCCCTAAATCAATTAAGAAAATTGAATTTGAGTCGGGCACGGTGACTCAGCCTGTAATCCCACGCCTTGAGAGGCTGAGGTGAGTGAATTGCCTGAGCCCGCGGGTTCGAGACCTGCCTGGGCAACTTGGTGAGACCTCATCTCTACAATAAATCAAAAACATAGCTGGGCGTGGTAGCGCGCGCCTGTAGTCCCAGCTACTTGGAAGGCTGAGACTCGAAAAGAAAAAGAAAAAGAAAAGAAAATTGCATTTGCAATTGTAAAACTCCCCCAAAAGAAATCTCCAGGCCAGAAGATTTCACAGCAGAATCTACCAGACCCTTAAAGAAAAATTAACACCAATTCTACAGTCCTCTTCCAGAAAATAGAAGAGGAGGAAACATTTACCAGTTCATTTTATTTATTTATTTTTTTTTTTGAGTTGAAGTCACTCTGTCACCCAGACTGGAGTGCAATGGCCGCTCCCGGCCACTGCAGCCTCAACCTGCTGGACTCCGGTGATCCTTCCGCCTCAGCCTTCCAAGTAGCTTGGAACTACAGGTGCGCGCTACCATGCCCGGCTAATTTTTGATTTGTTGTAGAGACGAGGTCTCGTCAAGTTGCCCAGGCGGGTCTCAAACCCGCGGGCTCAGGCAATCCACTCACCTCGGCGTCCCAAAGTGCTGGAATTACAGGCTGAGTCATCGAGCCCGGCCCCAGTTCATTTTAAAGTTGATATTATCCTGATATATACCAGAAAAAGACAATACAAAAATAAATTACAGACCAATAATCCTCAGGAATATAAATGGAAAAATCCTTAGCAAAATATTAACGAATAAAATACAGCAATATATATCAAGACTTAAAAACTGTGACCAAATGGGGGTTCATCCAAGTATGCAAGGCTGGATCGACATTCAAAAATCAGTCAATACAATCTACCATATTAAAAATCATATGACCATATCAATTGATGCAGAGAAAGCTTTTGGCATAATTCAACACCCTTTTATGATTTTAAAAAAAACTCTCAGAAAGACAGAAACAGGCCGGGCTCGGTGGCTCAGCCTGTAATCCCAGCACTTTGGGAGGCCGAGGTAAGTGGATCGCCTGAGCCCGCAGGTTCGAGACCTGCCTGAGCAACTTGGCGAGACGTCATCTCTACAATAAATCAAAAATTAGCTGGGTGTGGTAGTGCATGCCTGTAGTTCCGGCAACTTGGAAGGCTGAGGCGGAAGGATCGCCGGAGCCCAGCAGGCTAAGGCTGTGGTGGCCATGAGCATGCCACTGCACTCCAGTCTGGGCAAAAGAGTGACACTCTGACTCAAAAAAAAAAAAAATCTAGCCAGATGTGGTGGCGCCTGCCTGTGGTCCCAGCTATTTGGGAAACTGAAGCAGAAGGATCGCTTGAGGCCAGGAGTTCAAGGCTGTGGTAAGCGATGATTGTGCCACTACACTCAGCTTGGGCCACAGAGCTCCACAAAAAAAAAAAAACATGCATAATTAACATCACACTTCATAGTGAAAGACCAAATGTTTTCTTCCTGGGATCAAAACAAGACATAGATATCCACTCTTACCTGTCTTATTCAACATAGTGCCGGAAGTACTCGTCATGACAGTAAGACATTAAAAGAAAGCAAAAAGTACACAGATTAGAAAGGAAAAAAAATAAAACTGTCCCTTGTTGCAGATGACATGGTTGTCTACTTAGAAAATCCCAAAGAGGCTGGGCTCGGTGGCTAAGCCTGTAATTCCAGCATTTTGGGAGGCCGAGGTGAGAGGATTGCCTGAGCCCAGGTGTACAAGACCAGCCTGGGCAACATGGACAGACCTCATCTCTACAATAAATCAAAAATTAGCCAGGAGTGGTAGCGCGTGCCTGTAGTTCCGGCTACTTGGAAAGCTGAGGCGGAAGGATCACTGGAGCCCAGCAGGTGGATGCTGGGGTGGCTGTGAGTGTGCCACTGCACTCTAGCCTGGGTGACAGAGTGAAACTCACCTCAAATAAAAGAAAATCTCAAAGATTAAATTTCATCAAGGCCACAGGATACAATATAAATATTTAAAAATTAGCCAGGCGGCTGGGCTCGGTGGCTCAGCCTGTAATCCCGCGCCTTTGGGAGGCTGAGGTGAGTGGATTGCCTGAGCCCGCGGGTTCGAGACCTGCCTGGGCAGCGAGACGTCATCTCTACAATAAATAAAAAAATCAGCTGGGCATGGTAGCGCATGCCTGTAATTCCGGCTACTCGGAAGGCTGAGGTGGAAGGATCGCCGGAGCCCAGCAGGTCGCAGCTGCGGTGGCCGGGAGCAGCCACTGCACTCCAGTCTGGGCGACAGAGTGAGACTCCAACTCAAAAAAAAAAAAATTAGCCAGGCTCGGTGGCTCAGCCTGTAATCCCATGCTTTGGGAGGCTGAGGTGAGTGGATTGCCTAGCCCGCAGGTTCGAGACCTGCCTGGGTAACTTGGTGAGACCTCATCTCTACAATAAATCAAAAAATTAGCCGGGCATGGTAGTGCACGCCTGTAGTTCCAGCTATTTGGAAGGCTGAGGCAGAAGGATCACCAGAGCCCAGCAGGTTGTGGCTGCGGTGGCCGAAAGCGGCCACTGTACTCCAGTCTGGGCGACAGAGTGAAACTCCAACTCAAAAAAATAAAATAAAATAAAATAAATTTAAAAATTAATTATATTTCTATAAAGCAGCAATGGACTCACAGCTACTAAAATTAAAAACAATATCATTTATAATTGCTTAAAAAAAGAGAAATACTTAGGTATTTACTTAGGTGTAAATCTAAGAAACCATGGGAGCTATGTGCTGAAAACTACTAAATGCTGATTAAAAAGTTCAAAATTATTCTAAAAATTTTTTTTTTTTTAGTTGGAGTCTCACTCTGTCACCCAGACTGGAGTGCTCCCGGCCACCGCAGCCTCGACCTGCTGGGCTCTGGCGATCCTTCCGCCTCAGCCTTCCGAGTAGCCGGAATTACAGGCACGCGCTACGCCCAGCTGATTTTTTTATTTATTGTAGAGATGAGGTCTCGCTGCCCAGGCGGGTCTCGAACCCGCGGGCTCAGGCAATCCACTCACCTCAGCCTCCCAAAGGCGTGGGATTACAGGCTGAGCCACCGAGCCCGGCTTATTCTAAAATTTATAGGAGATCCTTTTGTAGTTCATAAGTGTGATGATTAGGTATTCTCGCACCTGTGTGAGATGTGGCACCCTCAAACCTTGTTACATAAGCACACTACCCATCTGACGACAAATTAAATTAAATTAATATGAAAAGAGAAAGGAACTAGAATTGCTAAAACAATTTGAAATAGAGTAAGATAGGAGAAATCGATCTACCGAATTCTAGGACTCCTACAATGGAACAGATCTGAGAATCCAGAAATAGACCTACTCAAATATATTTGATTTTTTTTTTTTTTTTTTTGAGCTGGAGTCTCACTCTGTTGTCCAGACTGGAGTGCAGTGGCCGCTCCTGGCCACCGTAGCCTCGACCTGCTGGGCTCCGGCGATCCTTCCGCCTCAGCCTTCAGAGTAGCCAGAATTACAGGCATGTGCTACCACGCCCGGCTGATTTTTTTATTTATTGCAGAGATGAGGTCTCGCTGCCCAGGCGGGTCTCAAATCCGCGGGCTCAGGCAATCCACTCACCTCAGCCTCCCAAAGGCACGGGATTACAGGCTGAGCCACCGAGCCAGGCTGATTTTTTTTTTTTTTTTGAGTTGGAGTCTCACTCTGCCGCCAGGGCTGAAGTGTAGTAGCATGCTCACGGCCACCCCAGCGTAGACCTGCTGGGCTCTAGCAATCCTTCCGCTTCAATCTTCCAAGTAGCCAGAACTGTAGGTGCATGCTACCATGACCGGCTAATTTTTTGATTTATTGTAGAAATGAAGTCTTGCCAAGTTCCCCAGGCTGGTCTTGAACCCGTGGGC